ATGCCGGGCGCGCCGCCGGCGCGCACCATGGCCGCCACCTCGTCCACGGGGTTGCCCGGCACGCGCGGCGCGGCGCTGACCATCTCCGACAGCTGCTGGAGCTGCAGGAACTGGCTGCGCATGATGCGCGCCTGCATGGCGGCCGTCGACTCGGCGTCGCCGCCGCCCGCGCCCGCCTCCTCCCCCGGCGCGCGGCCGGGCATGGCCAGGCCGGGGGGCAGCAGCCCCGCCAGGCCCGGGAAGGAGAGCGGGGGCATGGGGATGGTGAGCGCGGGCGCGGCCAGAGCCTCGCCGCCCAGCGCGGGGGCAGGCAGGCCTGGGTCGCCGCCGCCGCCGCCGCCGCCCTCCTCGCCCTCCTGGCCCAGGAAGGGGAGCAGGGGGGGGGGCGCGTGCAGGTCGCCGGGGCGCCAGCCGTAGACCCACTCGAAGGCGGGCTGGCGCTTCTTCACGTACACGCGCTGGATCAGGCCCACGGAGCAGAGGATGGAGGAGATGTCGTACAGGCGGCGCTCCACCGTGATCTGGGTCTGGCTGCGCGCCGCGCCGCCGCCGCCGCCGGCCGCCGGGTCGGGCGCGGGCGGGGGGCCCCACCAGCAGCGCCGCCGCCGCCGCCAGGGTGATGGGCCCCGTGTGCTTGAGCAGCATGCGCACCAGGCGCCGCGACAGCACCCACAGCGAGTGGCAGCTGGGCTTGGGCGGTGCCACGGCCGCGCCGGCCGCCGGCTCCGGCTCTGGGGCCGGCGCGGGCGCGCCGGCCCCGCCCGCCGCGGCCGGTCGTCCACGGGCAGGCCTGTTGGTGTGGGGGGGGGGCAATGTGGAATGCGGGCGCAGCACATGTGGGCCGCACGCCCACCGTGCCGAGGCCTGGCGCTGTGCCTCTGACCCCCTGGGCGTGCATGCGCAGGCATGCCACCATGGCATGGAGGGAACAGCCCCCCGTCGCAGCCGTCACCCCTGCACTGGCACGCCACCGAGGAAACCCTCTTCCAAACCACCCCCCTCGACGAGGCGCCCGCGATGAAAGACCATCCTCCTCACCCTTCATCTCCTCGTCCAGGAGCTGGGCCAGCAGGGCGGGGAGGTGCTGAAAGCCCGCGAACTCGTAGGTCAGCTTGCCGACGCGACGCATCACCTCGATGGACTCAAACACATTGATCACATCGTACAGACGGCGGCGCGGCACGTCCAGGCTGGCGGCCACGTCGTTGAGCAGCAGCACGCGCGGTTCGCCGCCGGGGCCCAGGCGCCCATACTTGCGCTGGAAGCGCTCGCAGAGCAGGGTCAGCTCAGACTTTGGCGGCGCAGCCGCCGCCGCGGACCAGCCACCGGATGGGGGTGTGGGGGCGGCACCCTCGCCGCGCGCCGCAGCGGCTGCAAGGTGGGTGGGGGAGGGGGAGGGTAGGTGAGAGTGAGGCTCGTGCGACAAGAAGGTATCTGGTGATGAAGCCGCGCAGGGACCAGGTGGGGCGGGTTAGGATGGGTCACACACTAGGGGCCTCCTCAACCCCAAGACGCCCTTGAGCTAAGGCTTCATGACCCTCGGTGATACCGCAATCAACCCGCGACACCACAGCCCGATGCCCCCCCCCAAAAAAAACACCTACAACAACTCACAGTTGCGGCGTCGGCCTCGGGAAGCCACCACCTTCTCGCCCTCCTCCTCCTCGTCCTCGTAGCCGTCGCTGGTCAGCGGGCGCGCGCCGTCCAGCGAGGGCGGTGTGTCCTCGGGCGGGGGAATGGACTCGCGCTTGCGTCGCTGGCCGCGGGTCGCGCCGGCCTCCCCATCCTCCGCCGGGGTGGCCTCGGGCGTGGGGGAGGCCGCCAGATCGGCGCCAGGTATGGCCAGGGCATGCACCTCTTCCTGAGGTGGCAGGGAGGCCTCGGCCGCGAATGGTCCAGGCTCCGACTCCTCAGGCAGAGCAGGGGTGGGGGCGGAGGGGGGCGTGACCGCCGCGGCGTCCTCCTCCATGGGCTCAAAGGTGGGGATCGCGTTCTCCTCTCCTGCTGCCATGGGCGGCGCAGGCGGCGTCGCCTCCTCTGCCACGGGAGCAGCGGGCGGCGTCGCCTCTGCTGCCACGGGAGCAGCGGGCGGCGTCGCCTCTGCTGCCGCGGGAGGGGCGGGCGGCGTCGCCTCTGCTGCCACGGCAGGGGCGGGCGGCGCCGCCTCTGCTGCCGCGGCAGGGGCAGGCAGTGGCGCCTCTGCTGCCGGCTCGAGCTTGGGGGGGGCGCTGGTGGGGGTGGGCGCCTCGCCGTTGGGGCCTTCTGCCTCCGCCCCGTCGCCGCCCTCGTCCGAGGAGACTGCGATGCCCAGTAGGACTGCTGCCGCACTCACCTCCTCATGGGCGGGGTGCCCTGAGGGTCTGGGTGGGAGCAGGCGCTCCGACCGGGCCCGCTTCGGACATGACCTCGAGGGCGACCATTCCACGGCGGAAGGGTCTCCAGGCGGGAGCGGGATGGGCATGACTGGGGAATGTGCCTGGCGGGGAGGTGTCAGGAGTCGGTGTGGGGGGGGGACGCGGGCGAGGCGCAGGGGCAGGTCGTCCATGCCTTGTACACAGTAGTCGTCCTTCATTATACAAGGGGCACCCAGGACCACGTTGTCCGGCACTCGCCACACACCGAACGAGCACCAACAGCGTACGCGCGCGCCAGCAACGGCCAGCGCGCGTCAGTCCCACACCAACCTGGTCTGGGAGACTCGGCAGATGATCACACGGCAGCTTGAGCTCCGCTTAAGTATGAATATGACCGAAGCGCGTTTTCAAGCGCTCCTGGAAGCCATGAACGTGGGGCGCGACCGATCGAAGCTCCTGAACCCTGCTCGACCACTTTTGCCGGGACGGGAAAGAGGCTCCTTTCACAGGCCTCGGGTGCTTCAGTCTTTTGAATTTGTCTGGGGTCGCTCTTTGAGGAAGAAGGGAGTATCGCCAAGGCGCAATGAAGGGATGAGGGCGCCCGCAGCCTGGGCGCCAGAACCGGGGCACGGCGCCTTTGACCGTGGCGCGCTCGCGCGCTTGCACCCGCGGGAGTGGGGGGTTAGATAGTGGTCTGGATAGAATATAGGTCTCCCAGAAGAAAGGGGTGTGAATCTGGCCCGATGCGCGCATGCCTGACTCAGTTCCTGGTCTCTGGCACAGCGTATGCAAGAGCAGTAGTCCCATTTATCGATCGAGGTGTCATATAAAGCACTTCTCGGACGCCCACCCTCCCACCCTCTTCTGGATCGACGCCTCCGC